GGGGGCGTTAAGGGAAAGGGGATGAGCTACCCCCTGTTGTGTAGCCCCATGAAGCAAAAATAAAAAAAAAAAACAAGAAAAGAGATGTTTGAGTCTATCGCCTAGTTTGCCTCTCGATATACATGTTGGCACGTCATCTCTATCGAATATATCTCTTAGCTGAATGCAGTTGGCTGAATATACTTCTCATCATCATTACGTGAAGCATTGAAATTTATTTTGATAATCCCATTATTTGGAATTGGGCCATTTATCCCTTGGAAGTTCTCCACAAACATATTGAGAGTCCCTTGGAAGTTCTCCAAAAATACTTTAACATTTTTGCTTTTTCATAGAGACCACAAGATAAAAGCAGRTTTTTCTTTAAGTATGTATTTGGTTCCGTGAGCATTTATGGATAGGGCGTTTATTTGTACTTTTTCACTTTAAATGTTTCCTATTTTCGTTGTTTGGTTGAACTTCACTTCAAACGCTTTTTACTCTCCATCTCAGATTTGTACCCATTAAAGTGTGTCACATCAGTATTTGGTTTCAAGAAACGCTAGGGCATTTAGGGAAACAAGAATTTGACGTTTCCCCAAATGCCCCATGCACAAAAATCAAAGCGCTTCAATTTTCTACCATTTATTTGATAAACGGTGAAACCAAACAATTGTTTCATTTTGCTTCATCAGCAATAAATGCCAACGCCTATGTGGCGTTGATGTGGTGATGTTTTTTTAATAAATGCCAACGGAACCAAGCATCCCCTAAGTGAAGCCTTTTATTCTCGCTGCTATTTCCTATCCTAACCCACCTGTCCAATAAAGACCGATCATTCTCCTTGGGGCCCTCAAGAGATGAGCTAATCATTAACCATATTTGTTTTGTAAAGGAGCATTTTCTTAAAAATATGCTCTACATCTTCCTCATTTGCCACAAAAACAGCAAGAGCCATCCATGTTTATCCCCCTCTTCCTAAGATGGCTTCTTGTAGAGAGTCTATTATCTATATCTATATATTAAAAGAAGAAAGTCTAGGACTTTTCTCATTTTTTTGAATTTTTTATGTTTTATTTCATGTCTTTTTTTTTTAAAGAACCAATGAGATGCTCTCATTCTCCAGAAAAATTATCTAAAATCTCTCTCTTTCACCCACATGTTCCCAACAATCTCCTCTCCTAAGATTTGTACTATAAACTATTTCTCCCACTCTCTCCTAAATCATCTCTAATTTCTATTTATCTCCTAACTTATATCTAATTTATTAGAGAGTTTCTCTCCAAATTATCTCTAATTCCTATTTATCCCCTTCCCCACTTTTTATCCATATCTATCTAAAGAAAGTTTAAATTAAAACTTTAAGAATTATTTAAATATTCTAATGAAATTATATAATAACTTTAAAATGTTTATTAAAAATAGAAAAATTAATTATAATAGATTTAATAATATTCATATTTTATTAATAGTTTTATATTTTTATAAAATTCATCATGAAATTATATGTGTACTAACAATATAAATTATGATTTTTCAGATTGTTCAAATTAAATGTTATTCAAATAATATAAACTTAACATTAAAAAATAATAAAATAATAAAAATAGCTAAATAATTATATAGAAAATATTTAATTATTTTAATATTTCAATAATTAAATATCTTAAATTCAAATAATGAATATTTTTAAATACTTTATATATTATTTATATATTTAAATAACTAAATATTTTAAATAACAAAATATTTAACATAACTATATTTTAAATAGTTAAAATAATGAAATTATGCAATAAAATAAAAAAATCTTAAAAATAAAAATAATCATAACATAATATTCAAATTAATAATAATTTAATATTTTTACAAAATTAATAATAAAATTTTGTAATAATAGTATAAGTTATAATTTTATGGATTATTAAATTCAATAAATAATTAAAATTATAAAATTTAAATAATGATATTATTTAAATAACCAAATTATATTTTAAATAACCAATTTCAGTTATATCAATTAATAATTCTAGAAAAATAACTTTCAAAAAAATAATATTATTTAATAATGATTTTAAAATTTAATCTATATTTATTATATATTTATATATACTAAAATTAATATTTATTGTGTTTCCATCAATTATTTATAGTTTTTTTTAATAATTATATTTTCAATAATTATGTAAATCTATATTTGTTTTGTTATTTAATAGAAAAAGTACTTTTACGAAATTGTTTACAACTTTTGTTACTTTTACGAAAGCACTTTTATAAAAATACTTTCACATGAAAGCACTTATAAGTAAAGTACTTTTATAAGAGCACTTTTATAAAAGTATTTTTATAAAAAAACACTTTTATGGAAGCACTTTTACGAAAGTACTTTTATCAAAGTACTTTTATGGAAGCACTTTTACGAAATAAATTCTACCAAAGTACTTTTATTCATTCACTTTTGATTGGATATTATAAAAACTTAAAATAAAATGAAAGACAAAAGAGTCACAAGTGCTTATTGGAGAAAAAGACCACCAAACATCCAATATAAAATACATACTTATTTTTTAAAATAAACACTTATTTTTAACATAAACACTCCCAAACATGGCCTTGATATTCCAAACATTTATTAGCCATTTAGTAAATTCATCTTAACCCAACATTGACGAGCATTTTAGAAAATATGCTGATTTAATAGTAAATGAACCTTTTGGGTTACAACCCAGATTAAAGTTGGATCCAAGTGGGACCTAGGAGGCTAGGACTGGGTCTGGCCGTCTGGGTATGGGAGGGCAACAATTAGTACCAGCTAGACTTGTTCATGGGCCGGGCTAGGTTTTGCTCTTCATCAATAGAAAATTTTCAGGCCCGAGCTCGAGCCCGACCCGACCAATGGGCCTACAACTTGGGCTCGAGCCCGACCCTCATAAAAAGCCCGAAGCTCGGGCCCGAGACCAAAGCCCAACCTAGGAGTCTGAGCGTTAGTGCCTGAGTTCACCTTTGAGTTTGTCGATTCCTGGGAGTTTGAGAGTGAGAATGAAAACTGAGAAAGTGAGAAGATAAAAGATGAAAACGGTGTTGATTGGAGAGAGAGAGAGAGAGAGAGAGAGAGAGAGAGAGAGAGAGATGACCTAGTTCTGGTGGCCCTGGTCGCTGGTGCCTGAATTTGCAGAGTGAAAACGACGCACCTGTGTTTGCTGATTCTGAGAGTCTAAGAGTGAGAAACTGAGAATGAGAAGAAAAGTAAGAAGATAGAAGATGAAAATGGTGTCGGCCAAAGAGAGAGAGAGAGAGCTCATCGATGGAGAGAGAGACGACCTAGTTCTGATGGCGCCGACTTCCGGTGCCTAAGTTCGTAGAGTGAAAACAGTGCGCTTGGGTTTGCCGATTCTGAGAGTTTGAGAGTGAGAAACTAAAAATGAAAAGATAAGTCAAAAGATAAAAAGAAATTTAGGGTTTAAAGTTTAAACTATATAAAAGTCAGGCCAGGCATTTTTGACAAATCCTAAACCTGGCCCGAAAAAAATCAAGTCGGGCCAGGCCGACCCGTTGGGCTGCCATGCCCATGAACAGGTCTAGTACTAACTAGCCCTAATCGTTTGACTCGGTTAAATCAAGTAGGAAAGCACGTGTGAGATGTATATCTTGCTGCAAGGTCCAAAAATCATGTTGAGTCCATAAGACCCATTATTTATTCCATCATGTTCTTTTTTTTTTTTTTTTTTGGCTAAAATACATATATAC